CTTGTCTCATTTTTTGTGCACGGTACATAGGATGCAGAGGTTCCAATCATTGGGCATGTATTCTTCTAGCCAAATTGTACTAATCAGCTGGTGCATGCTCCTGACCACCAGTCTTGAATAGTTCGGCTGGTAACTCATCGGCTCCAGCTGCTTTATTGTTCTTAAACCGATTAATTGCTTTTATGACCTCATCTTGGCTAGGTGGTATACAATCTATACCGTCATCTCTTATTGGTTCTGGAGTATCTACTTCACCGCCACTATTTGATACCTGAAACTTTTCAAAATGCTCCTTCCAGATCCTCAACATGCTGTCTGTATTTGTCACCAGGTTTCCTTCGTAATCTCAACAGGAGGATGTGCCTGTACCAAAGACTTCGGTTTTGTGTTTTACTCGTTGGTAAAATTTCCGGACTTCATTCTGACTCCTGTACATCTCGATTTGCTTTTTTCTGAAAATACGTTTTTCCTCTCTCCTTTTCTATCGATAATTCTCCATCCTTGATGGTTCCTTGATGGTGGTTTTTGGTACCCCAGAGTTGCTTTTGCTGTTCTTAGTAGGGAGTGGGCAATTCTTTGCCATTGTGCTTCTATACTATTATCGGGACAAGAAGTGTTTTCCGCAAATTTGTAAGTTGAGCGGAGTAGGCCTCGGCAATCTGTTGTGTTTGCAGCTTTTCGACGTCGAGTTTCCGTGTTGGGTTAGAAGTGCTTTGCTGCTATGGTCAGATGGGTAAGTTGAGCGGAGTAGGCCTCGGCAATCTGTTGTGTTTGATCAGGAGAGATCCAAGTGGTCTTGTGTATATCGAGATGCTTGAATCTGGTGCTGCCGTTGTCGGATGTTTCTTCATGAAGGCTGAATTTTCCGACGGTGGGGCCAAAGATATTTTCCCTTCCGAATTTTGCATTAAAATCTCCTAGCAGAATTTTAATGTCATGGCCAGTGCAACGTCATATGCTGTTTCTAGGCGCTCGTAAAATATGTCTTTGGTCTGTTCATCTTTATCTTCGGTCGGAGCATGGACGCAAATGAGACTGATGTAGAAGAACTTCGTTTTTATACGGATTGTAGCAATTCGCTCATCTACTGGAGTGAATCTGGAGACAAGGTCTTTTATTCTCCCGTTAACCATAAGTCCGCAGCCAAATTCATGTCTCGTTTTATGGTAGCTATAATACAGGGCGTAATCGTCTGATTTACTTATGCCTGTCCCTTTCCATCGCATTTCCGGTAAGGCAATAATGCCGGCTTTGTACTTCTTGAGTATATCCACCAAAGCGAAAACTGCGCTTTTTCTGTACAAGGTGCGCACATTCCACGTGCAGATTCGCAGATCGTGGTCCTTTATTCGCTTTCGGGGGTCGTTAACATTAGGGGGGTTTGGTTTGGTTTTATTTATTTATTTTTTTTTTTTTTTTGCTTTTTCATATTGGTAGGGGTTTTCCGAGTGTGGGCAACTAACCCAACGCCTCAACCCATTTTTTATAGTTCTCAGCTCACTATTTCAACGGATGATGAAAGTAGCTACCCCAGGTGACACCGCGGGGAGGTCAGTGTCCACAATTGAGATGAAAGAGGGACCAAGATATGCCTGGGCCTAGCCATGTTAAAGCCAATCTGAGCCGTTGCTTGGTATCTATCATTAACACGACTACGTCAACCGCAATAAGTTTGAATATACATAAAAATCAAAGACATTTTCTAAAAATACACGATCTAAGATTATTTTTTAAAAATCCATGATTTTGGTAGAAAAAAAAATAAAAAATCATGGCAACTCTTAACAATATTCACCGAAGACTTGTTTTCTGTTATACGATCCGGCACACTTATCACTTTTAGTGTCTAGATCAACAGAAGACATAAAAAATGTAATGATGATGAGTCCATGGGGTGGGGATAGATCAGGTCATGTGAGAGTTTTTTTTTTTTTTTTTCTTTTCAATATTGCATTATCATCACAACCGTGATGGTTATTCAACTTGAAATGGGTGGGTGGGGTGCAATATGTGTAAGTATGCAAAGATGTCGCCACAACGGACATTTAAAGGCCTTAAAATAAAATATTAAAAAAACAATTTGTTATCTCAAAAACCGCTTATCCAGATTTGACTGTATAAAATATTAAAAATTAAAAAAAAATCTGCGACGTCACTAAAATTATTGCAGAATAAATTTTAGTGACGTCGACAGAGATATACCTTTCTTTTTGTTATTTTAAATTAGCGGAATTTTAAAACGCGATCCAATTCCAGTTTCATGCTAAGAATATTTCAAAACAAACTCACTTACCTATTCAAAATTTGGGATCAATCACAATAAATTAGGTCATTGTATTCTAAATGGGAATTTGAATAAAAGCTTGTATGAAATAAATTCGAATTTAAATATAGATTTGTTCCGGGCATCATGTCATATTCGTGAGAAGAGGGTATCAAGTGTTGGGTGTTGATAAGAGATTATTTATATCGGAGCTTAAGAGAGTTAACAGGTGAAGAGAGCACCTGTCGAATAAAAAAATTGGACAAATATTCTTTAAAAAATCTACGCCTTGGTGTTACTTGAAAAATATTTTTTTTTTAAATTCACGTCTTACAGGTCTTTAGAAAAATATTCTTTAGAAAACCTACGTCTTAGAGGTCCTTAGAAAAATATTCTTAAAAAATCCATGCCTTAGAGGTCCTTAGAAAAATATTCTTTAAAAAATACACGCCTCAGAGGTCCTTAGAAAAATATTCTTTAAAAAATACACGCCTCAGAGGTCCTTAGAAAAATATTCTTTAAAAAAACTACGTCTTAGACGTCCTGAGAAAAATATTCTTTAAAAAAACTACGTCTTAGAGGTCCTGAGAAAAATATTCATTACAAAAAAACTACGTCTTAGAGGTACTCGAAAAAATATTCTTTAAAAAATCCACGCCTTGTTTGGCTGGCTACTCGAAAAAATATTCTTTAAAAAATCCACGCCTTGTTTGGCTGGCTACTCGAAAAAATATTCTTTAAAAAATCCACGCCTTGTTTGGCTGGCTACTCGAAAAAATATTCTTTAAAAAATCCACGCCTTGTTTGGCTGGCTACTCGAAAAAATATTCTTTAAAAAATCCACGCCTTGTTTGGCTGGCTACTCGAAAAAATATTCTTTAAAAAATCCACGCCTTGTTTGGCTGGCTACTCGAAAAAATATTCTTTAAAAAATCCACGCCTTGTTTGGCTGGCTACTCGAAAAAATATTCTTTAAAAAATCCACGCCTTGTTTGGCTGGCTACTCGAAAAAATATTCTTTAAAAAATCCACGCCTTGTTTGGCTGGCTACTCGAAAAAATATTCTTTAAAAAATCCACGCCTTGTTTGGCTGGCTACTCGAAAAAATATTCTTTAAAAAATCCACGCCTTGTTTGGCTGGCTACTCGAAAAAATATTCTTTAAAAAATCCACGCCTTGTTTGGCTGGCTACTCGAAAAAATATTCTTTAAAAAATCCACGCCTTGTTTGGCTGGCTACTCGAAAAAATATTCTTTAAAAAATCCACGCCTTGTTTGGCTGGCTACTCGAAAAAATATTCTTTAAAAAATCCACGCCTTGTTTGGCTGGCTACTCGAAAAAATATTCTTTAAAAAATCCACGCCTTGTTTGGCTGGCTACTCGAAAAAATATTCTTTAAAAAATCCACGCCTTGTTTGGCTGGCTACTCGAAAAAATATTCTTTAAAAAATCCACGCCTTGTTTGGCTGGCTACTCGAAAAAATATTCTTTAAAAAATCCACGCCTTGTTTGGCTTCTCAAAAAAATATTCTTTAAAAAAATCACCCCTTGTTTGGCTTCTCAAAAAATATTCTTTAAAAAATCCACGCCTAGGGTGATTTATTTTCCTGAACCTCCACATAAGAGCGTTGCCATATTTTGAGTCAACTCTCTTTTTGCTACAACTTCTCCTTCATCCGTTTGACAAACAAGAATAACAACAACAAAAGTAATGAGGACATTGAATTCATTCAATTGGGGATGAGGATGCGAAGCAATGAACAAAACAAAAACAGCGTTAGCTCCGATTTTTTGTTATCAACAAGCTACATATTAAAGCTAGGCGGTAGCAGCAGTCGTCCAGCTAGGCAGCAGGCAAACAAACAATAGGCGCGACCGGTATGTCATCTTTAACGACATCAAATGAGGACATAACAGCAACAACCGCATCAACACAACGAAGAGGTTATTTTTTATGTCAAAATCACAATATATTCTGAATTTGATTATTAAAATTTAATGGCCACAGATTCCGATTCCATACTACGACTAAACGATGATTGTCTAGAATTGATTTGCAAACAATTGAACACGGTGGAACAATTTATTCTATGGAAATTGCACGAACGTTTCGAGCTAATCGTTGAGCATTTATGGTTGTCGGGAGGTGCGGGTTTACACACTGTCCAAGTGTATGATCAACAGGTTTCCCTGCTTAACGATAAAGAATTTATGGAATTCATGCGTATCCTTAGCCAACATACCGCCAACTTATCACTGCATTATTTGCGGAAGGAACGTTTCGAACAATTAATCACGTTGCGCTTTCCAAAAGTCACCATTCTCAAGTGTATCGATCCATTCGAACAGCATCGTAATCAGGCGGCACGGTATGGGCTCGAGGCGCTCCGTGTGCTGCAGAATTGTTTTCCCAACATTCAAGAATTGGAATTGAAAGGTTATCATGTGCGGTATTGTCGTGATATTTTTGCCATTGGTGGAGGTAATTTAAAACGTTTAGAATTGAAAATTCTTTAAGTAGGCAGGCGGACAGGCAGGAGAGCAGTTATCTGCTCAAATAGTCACATGGAAGGCATTTGTCATAATTTTTCTTTGTTTTTTTTGGTAATTATTCTTTATTTAAATGTAATTGAATTTTATTAAAGATAAGTGTTGTTTTATTATTTGGTATTTCTATATTATGTATGTACAGTGTTTAATAAAAATTATATGTTTTTTGTTAATAAAAATTCCTATACTAAGTTGAAAATGTGAATTTCAGTACTCCAGGTGGATTTGAGTCTTGTAGATATTGTTTGAAATCCAATTTGAGAAAACGATTGTTGTACATGTAACGAGGATCCTAGAAAGAAAAATAAAAGAATATTAATCGTTAAAAAATATTGAAAAATATTTAAAAAAATGTTATTTAAAAATCCAGGCCTTAGAGGTCCTTAGAAAAATATTCTTTTAAAATCCAGGCCTTAGAAGTCCTTAGAAAAATATTCTTTTAAAAATCCAGGACTTAGAGGTCCTTAGAAAAATATTATTTTAAAAATCCAGGCCATAAAGGTCCCTAGAAAAATATCAATTTAAAAATCCAGGTCATAAAGGTCCCTACAAAAATATTATTTTTTAAATCCACACCTTAAGAAATATAAACTTTTAAAAAACCCACGCCTTAGAGGTCCTTAGAAATATAATCTTTAAAAATCCACGCCTTAGAGGTCCTTAGAAATATAAACTTTAAAAATCCACGCCTTAGAGGTCATTAGAAATATAATCTTTAAAAAAATCACGCCTTAGAGGTCCTTAGAAATATAATCTTTAAAAAATCCATGCCTTTAAAAAATCCACGCCTTAGAGGTCCTTAGAAATATAATCTTTAAAAAATCCATGCCTTTAAAAAATCCACGCCTTAGAGGTCCTTAGAAATATCTTTAAAAAATCCACGCCTTAGAGGTCCTTAAAAATATAATCTTTAAAAAATCCATGCCTTTAAAAAATCCACGCCTTAGAGGTCCTTAGAAATATAATCTTTAAAAAATCCATGCCTTTAAAAAATCCACGCCTTAGAGGTTTTTAGAAATATAATCTTTAAAATTCCACGCCTTAGAGGTTTTTAGAAATATAATCTTTAAAATTCCACGCCTTAGAGGTTTTAAGAAATATAATCTTTAAAATTCCACGCCTTAGAGTTTTTTAGAAATATAATCTTTAAAATTCCACGCCTTAGAGGTTTTTAGAAATATAATCTTTAAAAAACCCACGCCTTAGAGGTCCTTAGAAATATAATCTTTAAAAAATCCATGCCTTTAAAAAATCCACGCCTTAGAGGTTTTTAGAAATATAATCTTTAAAATTCCACGCCTTAGAGGTTTTAAGAAATATAATCTTTAAAATTCCACGCCTTAGAGTTTTTTAGAAATATAATCTTTAAAATTCCACGCCTTAGAGGTTTTTAGAAATATAATCTTTAAAAATCCCACGCCTTAGAGGTCCTTAGAAATATAATCTTTAAAAAATCCAGGCTTTTAAAAATCCACGCCTTAGAGGTTTTTAGAAATATAATCTTTAAAATTCCACGCCTTAGAGGTTTTAAGAAATATAATCTTTAAAATTCCACGCCTTAGAGGTTTTTAGAAATATAATCTTTAAAATTCCACGCCTTAGAGGTTTTTAGAAATATAATCTTTAAAAAACCCACGCCTTAGAGGTCCTTAGAAATATAATCTTTAAAAAATCCATGCCTTTAAAAAATCCACGCCTTAGAGGTTTTTAGAAATATAATCTTTAAAATTCCACGCCTTAGAGGTTTTTAGAAATATAATCTTTAAAATTCCACGCCTTAGAGGTTTTAAGAAATATAATCTTTAAAATTCCACGCCTTAGAGGTCCTTAGAAATATAATCTTTAAAATTCCACGCCTTAGAGGTTTTTAGAAATATAATCTTTAAAAAACCCACGCCTTAGAGGTCCTTAGAAATATAATCTTTAAAAATCCACGCCTTAGATGTCCTTAGAAATATAATCTTTAAAAATCCACGCCTTAGAGGTCCTTAGAAATTTAATCTTTAAAAAATTCACGCCTTAGAGGTCCTTAGAAATATAATCTTTAAAAAATCCATGCCTTTAAAAAATCCACGCCTTAGAGGTCCTTAGAAATATAATCTTTAAAAAATTCACGCCTTAGAGGTCCTTAGAAATATAATCTTTAAAAAATCCATGCCTTTAAAAAATCCACGCCTTAGAGGTCCTTAGAAATATAGTCTTTAAAAAATCCACGCCTTAGAGGTCCTTAGAAATATAATCTTTAAAAAATCCACGCCTTAGAGGTCCTTAGAAATATAATCTTTAAAAAATCCACGCCTTAGAGGTCCTTAGAAATATAATCTTTAAAAAATCCACGCCTTAGAGGTCCTTAGAAATATAATCTTTAAAAAATCCACGCCTTAGAGGTCCTTAGAAATATAATCTTTAAAAAATCCACGCCTTAGAGGTCCTTAGAAATATAATCTTTAAAAAATCCATGCCTTTAAAAAATCCACGCCTTAGAGGTCCTTAGAAATATAATCTTTAAAAAAACCACGCCTTAGAGGCCCTTAGAAAAGTAATCTTTAAAAAATCCACGACTTAGAGGTCCTTAGAAATATAATCTTTAAAAAATCCACGCCTTAGAGGTCCTTAGAAATATAATCTTTAAAAAATCCACGCCTTAGAGGTCCTTAGAAATATAATCTTTAAAAAATCCACGCCTTAGAGGTCCTTAGAAATATAATCTTTAAAAAATCCATGCCTTTAAAAAATCCACGCCTTAGAGGTCCTTAGAAATATAATCTTTAAAAAAACCACGCCTTAGAGGCCCTTAGAAAAGTAATCTTTAAAAAATCCACGACTTAGAGGTCCTTAGAAATATAATCTTTAAATAATCCACGCCTTAGAGGTCCTTAGAAATATAATCTTTAAAAAATCCACGCCTTAGAGGTCCTTAGAAATATAATCTTTAAAAATCCACGCCTTAGAGGTCCTTAGAAATATAATCTTTAAATAATCCACGCCTTAGAGATCCTTAGAAATATAATCTTTAAAAAATCCACGCCTTAGAGGTCCTTAGAAATATAATCTTTAAAAAATCCACGCCTTGGAGGTCCTTAAAAATATTCTTTTAAAAATCCACGCCCTAGAGGTCCTTAGAAAAATATCAATTTAAAATCCACGTCTTAGAGGTCCTTAGAAAAGCGTTCTTTTAACAAATATTCTTTAAAAAATCAAAAAAAACATATTATCGTACCTCCAATATCGATTTATCAATAAATGTATCCTTGAGCCACATTTCCAAAGTGTGTGTACGCCACTTTTGTTTCTTTATCATTTCCATGCAACGCCATATCACCGATTCGCTAATGCCCTTACGGCAATGGGTTAAATTGATCAATTTCAATTTACGACAATTCTGTACAAAACTCAGCACGCCGCGATCACTTTCCAAATCACAGGAACACAAATGGATCTCCTCCAAATCGGCAAATTGTTTACTTATTTGCAGCAGCATATGATCACGTATCCCCTCAATGTCATAGCCACGACATTCATAAAATGAGAGTTTCTTTAAAAATCGCATATGATTCAATTCACGAAAGAACCTTTCGAAATTATGCAAAACTCCATTGAATTTAAAAGCTTCGATTTGTTTGAGATTTGTTCTCGAAATCCTTTCCAAAACATCAAAAACAAAATTTTTGGAATATATTGAAAGTTTCTTTAAATTTGGCATCCGCAAGATATCATTAATGATATCCGTATCGAAACACAAATGATAATCGGCAATTTTTATGTGTTCCAAAGTGGGACATTTTTTCAATTCGATTAGATCGCAACAATTGATTTCATCACAGTCTTCCATTATGTCGAATTTACGTAACTTCAGCTCTTGAAATACTTCTTGGAAATTATCCGATTCCAGACACTGGCAATCATCCAAGGAGAGGTGTTTCAGGGATGATAACTGTGCCAAATATTTGCCAGTTATTTGACAACCCCGTAACTTGAGTACTTTCAGTTTGGGAAATATTCTGGTCAATAGATTGAGATCTTCATCTAGAAATTGATGTTCACGATCACCCGATTCGGACAATTCTTCACCACCAATATCCAACACATAACCACGGGCACCTCCTTCACCCATCCAAATGAAAGTTTCGGTACGATTAAATGTCAGATCGTTGAGAAGGCGTAAATATTTAATATCACAATGACGCATTATCAAGCTCTGCATATGCGGACCAACTTCTTGAATGAAGCCAATGAAAGTTGTTTCGTCAACGCTCTCCAATAATTCAGGATATATGGCTATGTGATTTAGTTTGCAACGCCATTGAGATTTGACAATTTGTTTGAAACGGGTGTGTAATTTGGAGATTTGATATTGTTGCATTACATCCAGACGCCGTACAATCATGCCCAAACAGTCATCGTTTAAATCCATTATATGGGGTTTAGCAACTTGACACAATTCTGCAAAAAAATAAGTTAAATTTCATTAATAGTTTATTTTTATTATTTAAAATTCCACCTACCTTTTGACGTCACCATTTTCTTCCTTTATTTTTTTTCTGAATACTGCAGCTGAGCCCTTTTTTATGTTTCTCGCCTGATTATTTTAAATCCAATGACCAAGAGGATGATTTCTAATTATTTCCTTCTTTGTTGCCTGGTTTGTTTTTGTTGTCTTTTTGAATGAAATGACGTCGTATTTGTTATTGTTTTGCTTGTTCTCTGTGTGTTTTTTCTACCTACAGTGGCTGCTCTCTCATGCACTCTCTCACGTACTCTCCGATCCAAACAAATCGATTGTTATTGTTTTGGCTGGGGGTAAATTGTATAGTTTTTTCCAGCTTTGCCATTAAAATTCAATTTGAAGATAAAACTCTTGCTTCCAGTAATTTCCAGACAACTGTCTGTGCCAAAATAATTTCAATTTCCACCCCAAAAATACGAAAAATGTTTTGAATGCAACCAGAGAAATAGACAAACAATAACAAATGTTAAGATGGCAGAGAGCCTTGACAGAGAACAATAACAGCGTTCTTCTTCTTGTTTTGCTATTAATAACAAGGAACTCACTATGGAGTGATAGCAGGGAAATTTTAAATGGTGGAATTTAATTGATAGCAAAAAGGAGAATGGTATATTTTTAAAATAATTAATTAAAATTAAGAACAATTATTTTATTTAAAGTATTAAATTAATTTACAAAAATATAAATAAAAAATGTACAAATAAATTCGCATATTTTTAAACGATGGGAAGTATTACAGTCAAACTAACCTATATAAACCTTAAACCCCTCGGAAGTACAACCTAATAGAAAATGGTATATTCTGAAATGAGGGAAAACAACTACATAACCGTTATTTTGAAAAATAAACGGAGCTAGCCAACCAAACAAGGCGTGGATTTTTTTAAAGAATATTTTTTCAAGTAGCCAACCAAACAAGGCGTGGATTTTTTAAAGAATATTTTTTCGAGTAGCCAACCAAACAAGGCGTGGATTTTTTAAAGAATATTTTTTCGAGTAGCCAACCAAACAAGGCGTGGATTTTTTAAAGAATATTTTTTCGAGTAGCCAACCAAACAAGGCGTGGATTTTTTAAAGAATATTTTTTCGAGTAGCCAACCAAACAAGGCGTGGATTTTTTAAAGAATATTTTTTCGAGTAGCCAACCAAACAAGGCGTGGATTTTTTAAAGAATATTTTTTCGAGTAGCCAACCAAACAAGGCGTGGATTTTTTAAAGAATATTTTTTCGAGTAGCCAACCAAACAAGACGTGGATTTTTTAAAGAATATTTTTTCGAGTAGCCAACTTAACAAGGCGTGGATTTTTTAAAGAATATTTTTTCGAGTAGCCAACCAAACAAGGCGTGGATTTTTTAAAGAATATTTTTTCGAGTAGCCAACCAAACAAGGCGTGGATTTTTTAAAGAATATTTTTTCGAGTAGCCAACCAAACAAGGCGTGGATTTTTTAAAGAATATTTTTTCGAGTAGCCAACCAAACAAGGCGTGGATTTTTTAAAGAATATTTTTTCGAGTAGCCAACCAAACAAGGCGTGGATTTTTTAAAGAATATTTTTTCGAGTAGCCAACCAAACAAGGCGTGGATTTTTTATAGAATATTTTTTCGAGTAGCCAACCAAACAAGGCGTGGATTTTTTATAGAATATTTTTTCGAGTAGCCAACCAAACAAGGCGTGAATTTTTTAAAGAATATTTTTTCGAGTAGCCAACCAAACAAGGCGTGGATTTTTTATAGAATATTTTTTCGAGTAGCCAACCAAACAAGGCGTGAATTTTTTAAAGAATATTTTTTCGAGTAGCCAACCAAACAAGGCGTGGATTTTTTAAAGAATATTTTTTCGAGTAGCCAACCAAACAAGGCGTGGATTTTTTAAAGAATATTTTTTCGAGTAGCCAGCCAAACAAGGCGTTGATTTAAAAAAAAAATATTTCGAGTAGCCAACAAGGCGTGGATTTTTTAAAGAATATTTTTTCGAGTAGCCAGCCAAACAAGGCGTTGATTTAAAAAAAAATATTTCGAGTAGCCAACAAGGCGTGGATTTAAAAAAAATATTTCGAGTAGCCAGCCAAACAAGGCGTGGATTTAAAAAAATATTTCGAGTAGCCAGCCAAACAAGGCGTGGATTTAAAAAGAAAAATATTTCGAGTAGCCAACAAGGCGTGGATTTAAAAAAATATTTCGAGTAGCCAACGAGTCGTTGATTAAAAAAAAAAATATTTCGAGTAGCCAAGGAGGCGTTGATTAAAAAAAAAATATTTCGAGTAGCCAACAAGGCGTGGATTTAAAAAAATATTTCGAGTAGCCCACAAAGCGTGGATTTAAAAAAAATATTTCGAGTAGCCAACAAGGCGTGGATTTAAAAAAATATTTTGAGTAGCCAAAAAAGCGTGGAGTTTTTCATTTCAAATTTATAAAAATAAAAATTTTGTTATATATAAAATTCTTTATTTTGTTTTTGTTTTTTTTTTTAATAAATTGTTCATGTTATAAAAATACTGTATGAAAAAATGTGTTGGTGGAATGTAATTAAAAGCACTAAAATAAAAGAAAAAATATAAACTTAAAACTATGGATTCCATTAGACAATGTTTATAATTAGGTATATAGCTTAAAAAATATTTGCTATAAAATATTATAGCAAAGGACAACAATGTGTGTGTTTCTTGTCTTTTTACATATTTATAATGTAGCACTTATTTTACAATAGAGTATTTAATATTAAAAAATAAAAACAAAACAGTTTGTAGTTATATACGATCATGTTGATGCTGTTGTAATTCTTCAATACAAATAGGAAGGAGGGTTATAGACAAAAATCTGGCTTATTACAAAAAAATCATTGGCACTTGTATATCACACATCTAAAATTGGCACTAACATTGGTTCTCAATGCCTTAGTTACCAGCCTAAGTGTTAACGATTTTTTTTATTTGAGGTTATATATACACAACTGAGTTTGAGCGTATCTTTGGCAATTGATTTATTGGCTCTGTGGGTGTGTGTGCGAATTCATTCCTTTTTACCATTCGATTCTGTTATCGTTATGGGTTTTATTGTCTTCTCTAATAGTGGTGATTGTTCGGGTCCTTGCATAGATTTCAATTCAGCCACACCATTTTCATTGCTATGGATTTTATTTGTAGAATTGCCACGACGATTTTTACGCATCGAACATAGGTGCTTCATGGGATACCAGGCCAACATTATGACACCAATTGCAAACAGCACACCGGCAAATATTTGGCCACCCAATAGGACTCGGGGAATAATTTTCCATTCGGATGCCAATTCGGGTGTGATGCGTACCTTCTGCTCGAACCAAATCAGGGGGAAGAATATGCGTGGTACATCTTCGTATAAACTGAAAAGAAAAGGAAATCACGAATAAGAACGGAGAAGGTATGACATTTGAAATGAATTACTTACCTCACATCCTTTAAGGGTTCTACCAACATATTCACTTGAAACCGTGCAGCCACTTCCAAAGTCAATCCTGTTTTGGGTTCCAAAATCATATAGAATTCATGCTTCTCTTTGTTGGGTTCCAGACCCTCTACTTGGTCGACATAATAGGGATCAGCTTGATAGAAGTGGGGGAAGGACATAAATGCAGGTGTACCAAAACGACAGGCCGAAACATTCATGAGACCTGAGGGTACACATTCCCCTCCGCAGAAACATTGATTTTCGGGATATAAGGTACCTGAAAATAAGAAGGAAGATATAAAATCATTAAAATTGAAAGAATATTTTTTCGAGTTGCCAACGAGTCGGGGATTTTTTAACGAATATTTTTTCGAGTAGCCAACAAGGCGGGAATTTATTAAACTATACTTTAAAAAAGGCTTTCGAGTTGCCAACAAGGAGCGGAATTTTTAAAGAAAAGGTTTTCGAGTTGCCAACTAGGCGTGGATTTTTTAATCTATATTTTTTTAAAGAAAAGGGTTTCTTCTTGGATTTTTTAAAGAATTTTATTTTGGAGTAGCCAACCAACAAGGCGGGGATTTTTTAAAGAATTTTATTTTGGAGTAGCCAACCAACAAGGCGTGGATTTTTTAAAGAATTTTATTTTGGAGTAGCCAACCAACAAGGCGTGGATTTTTAAAGAATTTTATTTTGGAGTAGCCAACCAACAAGGCGTGGATTTTTTAAAGAATTTTATTTTGGAGTAGCCAACCAACAAGGCGTGGATTTTTTAAAGAATTTTTTTGGAGTAGCCAACCAACAAGGCGTGGATTTTTTAAAGAATTTTTTTGGATTAGCCAACCAACAAGGCGTGGTTTTAAAAAAATATTTTTTAAAGTAGGGTTGCAGATGTACTTCTTATCAACATACCATTATCTACAGCCCTGGGCCCACCGGAATATTTATAACCTTTAATTCCTTCAATTTCAACATCTTCCGAATATTCCAAAGGCACTGTACGGCACATATCTGGGGTAAATAGACCCACAATACTATCGGGCGTCAAGTTCTTAGGATAAAATTCTCCAGCCGAACCGTTGATCATGCCACAATGGGATTCAAAGAAGCCGCTATGGGTTTTATAATTCCATGTATGCATTTGGCCCATGAGGTTGATATCATCCACCCCTGTATAGGCATTAAAGACACCCGTCAGTTCAGCACTGCCATTGCGCTGGAATTATAAAGAACACTATGGATATAGAAATTTAATACAAGTGATTCCCATTTGGCCTTACCGTATAAAACCAACCAAATTTATCGAATGGCACCTCCACCTTCGTACCGAACAAATGTGTCATGGTACGGGCCGCGGTCATCATATCATCACTGTAACCGGTAAACAACAATTCATCGACAGTCTTTGTCACAGACACTTCTTGTTGATACATCTTCAGGCCCACATTTACCAATCGCGCATTCATGGCATCCCAGTGTTTAGTTTTTGCCGCTGCAGACTGTTAATAGGGATTTTAATATTTTTCTTTCTCTTTGGATAGGAAAATTCGTTGCCCACCACTTACCAAGGCCACAGCATTCAGGGTAACAATCATATCATCCAAACTACCATTGCTGCCAGCAGCATCAAAATAATATAAACTTTTCCGACGATATGTCACCGAAGCATTTTCCGGATGCCAATTGATATCGACTTTGTCGGGTTTCTCACGAAATCGATATGGTCCACATTGTTCTAAAATCGGTTTCACCGAAGAATTTCCAAAATCTTCGGGATTTGTCCAATTATATAAATAGATATCTAAATTTAAATCTAATGGCGGATTTTTCCATCGGCTGTAGATCACGGAATCTGGTCGAAGGGCCATTTCCTGAAAAATAGAAAATAAATAAATTGAGCTTGGCTATAATTTGAGAGTTGTCTCAAAAACTCACCTTATTTAATATGGAATCGAATATTTGTTCCCAAAACATGCCACATAAAATACCGCATATTCCCAGCAGGAAGCCCAAGGCACTTATGAATATCACTTTACTACTAGATCCGAACATTTGTATATTTTTGGATTTTTGTGGCATTTTTGATATATTGGAGTGGGTCACTGAGCTAGGGGTCTATGTAAAATAACTGCAATGTAAAGAAACAAAAAATAAATAAAAATATTAAAGGAAAAATCCACAAAAAATATATATTTTTAAATAAACACCTTATTGGCTACTCGAAAAAATCTTTAAAAAATCCACGCCTTATTGGCTGCTCGAAAAAAAAATTCTTTAAAAAATCCGCGCCTTTTTGGCTACTCGAAAAAAAAAATTCTTTAAAAAATCAGCGCCTTATTGGCTACTCGAAAAAAAAAATCTTTAAAAAATCCGCGCCTTATTGGCTACTCGAAAAAAATTTCTTTAAAAAATCCACGCCTTATTGGCTACTGGAAAAAATATTCTCTTAAAAATACACGCCTTATTGGCTACTCTACGCCTTATTGGCTACTCGAAAAAATATGCTTTTAAAAATCCACGCCTTGTTGGCTACACGAAAAAATATTCTTTTAAAAATACACGCCTTATTGGCTACTCTACGCCTTTTTGGCTACTCGAAAAACTATTATTTTAAAAATCCACGCTTTATTGGCTACTCTACGCCTTGTTGGCTACGAAAAAAATATTCTTTTAAAAATCCACGCCTTATTGGCTTCTCTACGCCTTGTTGGCTACTCGAAAAAAATATTCTTTTAAAAATCCACGACTTATTAGCTACTCTAAAAAAAATCTTTTAAAATCCGGGCCTTTGCGATCCTACTTCCTCCCAATTTTAACAGGTATTGGAAATCACAAAAAATAATAAATAAATTTCAGTATTCAAAGTCCAAATATCAAATGACATGATACAATTCAATCCCGCCCTAGTTGTAACCGTGTCAGGGAACATACACTCACTTACAGCTACCATGATTCGAATATGTCTTTATTTATTTATTGAATCGGTCATAATTTCCTTAAATGATGTGTATTTGAAAAAGCAAAAAACTGACAATGAATCTTTTTTCTGCTGCCGTTCCGGCGAAGAAAATTCAATTCAATGTGGAATTCAGTTCTGTATTTTTTTATAATTGAATAAATCAATTGACCCCATGATCTGCATGTTGATGCTGGTGATTCTATGGGTCTTTGGCATTATTTTCTGTGAGATGTTGTCGTCTTCAGCATGAAGACGAATGAACGGACAGACATAAATGGACAGCTAGCTATCATGCTATAGAGGCAATCATCATCACCATCACCCAACCAACTCTAGACGAACGAACACGAAATATGTCTATCAATGGGGAATGATAAATTTATGTGTATGAGGAGGAGAATATGCAGGGACATGCACATACATATATATGTGAATGCATGATATATGTATAAGTTCCGTTCGACAACAGTATCAAATATCATTTGTCGTGATCACTCTCACCCCCACACACTCTGACGGGATAGGGCAGCAATTGGAGCTGACTGATATTATTGAGTGTCTGGTGTTGATGGATTAGGAAGCAACAACACAAAACAGTAGATCTTCCAACACTCAAAATAATAATAACTGTCCAGCATTAATGGAGAGATTCTGAGGGGTGGGGGCAGGAAAGATTTCATATTATTATAGTCTGTTAAACAAAATATTAATTGTGTAAAATTAATTACATTACTGCTGTCACTGTTGATTATAGGGGAGACACCACCGACCTTTATTGACACGAAAATCATACGAAGTTAAAAGCTTCCGATTGTAAATGTGTCACACATGCAACATCAAACAATTTTATGGAATGTGGGGATTTTTTAATTGTCTACTTCTAAATTTGTTGTTAAATGTGAAGTTAATAAAGTTTATTTTTCTTGTTTTAATTGTCGAATGTCCCAATTTTTGAAAATTAATCGTCGCCCAAAATTTTCAAAGTTTACACTAATTAAATTAGTTAAAAATAACAAGTACTCTTCTATCGGATCTTAAATATACCCAAAAATGTACGGAACCTTTATAAGACGACATTGTCAAACCATAGCCTACATTGCAAATATTCTGTCCAGAGGATCATTTTTATGTTAAGGGGACCCGAAATACCAAATTACTGCCACTTCTTTCGAAAAATAACTATAAACCCATGAAGAAATTTTCGGAAATTGGGCGGGTCTTGAAAATGGAAATATGAAAATTATTTCGAAATGACAAATTACGACAACATATCTTCAGAAAAAATAGGAAAATGACTTAAAAAAAGCATCTGTTAATGGACTGGCTGCACCTTTGTATTGAGATGCAAGCTCTATTGAACTTAAAAAAATATTCTAAAAAAATCATATTCCACTAATATTTAAAGAAATATTTTTTATTTTTAAAAAATAATTTTTTTGAAGAAAAATTGAAAAAGTGTAAAGCCTTATGGCCCTTGAAAAAAATATTCTTTACGAAAATTCAAGCTTCGGGCGGATCATGGAATATTTTGTAGTTTTTCCCTTCAACTTCAGTTAGTTTTTGGAAAAATATTAAAAAAATTATGTTTTTTTTTCAAAAACAAGCTAAGAGTAGATTTTGGAAAAAAATCCTTGGTCTAGAGGTAATTCAAAAAATTATTTTGAAAAATCACAGAACTACTGGTCCTGCAAAGTACATTTAAAGACAATTGGGAAGGATCATGGAATATTTTGATTTTTTTCCTCCGCCGTCACTTGGTTTTTGGAAAAAAGTGTCAGTCGGTGTTACCCCCAGCCAATGGTTTGCAGAGGTCTTCGGAATTACACACATATTTATACCCTACACAACTATGTTGTCAGGGTATTATAGCTTTGTGCAGCCCCAAAAGTTTGTAACGCCGCGAAATATTGGTCCTAGACCCACCTTTAAGTATACCGATCGTCATATCTCGACTAGCTGAGTCGATCTAGACATGTGTGTCCGTCCGTCCGTCCGTATGTCCATTATAATTTGTAAACACGATACAGGCCACAGTTATGGACCAATCTTCACGAAATTTTGCATGTAGGTTGGGTTCTGGCCAATGAAGACCCCAATTGTTTTTGGAAAGGATCGGTTAATATTTAGGGATGAAATGGACCAAATACTAAATTGTTGTCGGTTTTTCTGGTCGCTCCAGAGGCCGCAATAATGGCCCGAACATCGTGAAATTTTCCATGGAGAAGGGGATCGGGCCACAGAATAAGCATGCCTGTTTTTATAGAGATCGGTCAATATTTAGCGGGTCAAATGGACCCTGACTTTTGTGTGAAAAATGACAAAATTTGTATTCTATAGCGTATATATTTGTGCCTGAAGGACATAGACCCGAGAAGTTTATATTATATCCAAGAGGAGTGGTTGACCTTTAAATTAATACCAATTATATTGTTGTATGTGCTCGGATGTGGGAGTTACACCTAAATATTTACAGGTATCTCCGTATTCGTATATTAGTTAGTAATCCATTATCACTCTAGAGAGCGGAACTATAGCGCTGATCGCTTTGAAATGTTCCATGAGGTTCCGGTTATGGTCAAGGACAACGCCTATAATTTTCGGTGATGATCAGATAATAATTTTGGAATGAAGTGCAGCGAAAACTTAATTTTTTGTGTTATTTTCGAGTCGAAAGCCGAACATCACAACACAACTTACTGTGAAGGGAATCTGGACAATAGCTCTACTGAATACTCGTAATATTCGGAAAATATGTCAGTGTGAGGAAGATGTGCTGTTTACCTCTAATCGGGCAAGAGGGTGCAAATATCACGAAATATTGCCCAGGCTCGGAATAAACATCCGCAGAAAATTTGAGTTCCGTGGTAGTTGTGTAGGGTATCGTATGGTCGGCCCCGTCCGACCATACTGCTCCGGTTTTTCTGGTTTATTAATGGCTTTATATAAGAAATATGTGTTTATCAAAGAGGTTTCGGATTTAATATTGATACAATTTTATAAAATATTGACCATTTGTGAGGAGTGGCCTACTGAGTCCCATTTCCGGACTTGATATAGGATTAGTAAAGATAATAAGTTGTGTAAGGTTTGGTTGAAATATGACATTCCATTCGCCTGATATTGGGTTTAAAAATATTTAAAATATTGACCATTCGTGGGGGAGGTACTGGAAGGAGTAGACCAATGGCACCCATCTTCCCACTTTATCTAGGCTTGGTAAAAATAATGGGTTGTACAAAGTTTCATTAAAATCGAATAGTCCATTTGTATGTTATTATAAAATTAATTTTTAGCAGAAATTTGGCCGTTTTGTTAGAGAGGTACCACAAGGAGTGGATCAATGTGCCCTATCTTCATACTTGATCTAGGCTTGGTAAATATAATAGGTTGTGCAAAGTTTGGTTCAAATCGGACATTCCATTTGCCTAATATTGAAAATGTTTACCATTTATGGGGGAGGTACCAGAAGGAACCTCCCCCAAGGGCAATCACGCTTTACGGCCTGATTGCCCTTTTGGAAATAATGCTTGTTTAGTCCATGCCACATAATCCCTTTAAAATATTCCTAAAAACACACCTTATGACCTGATAGTCTTCGTAAAAACACCTTCAAAAAAACCCTATTAAAAACCACGAGTTCGCGGCTATTAGTCCATTTGAAAATAACCCTAAATACCAGTCAAATATTTTTGATAGTTCTTTTCAAAATAATCGCGCCCTATAAGTCCTATTGAATACTAAGGTTTGTTATTCCTCTTGAAAAGATATGCTTAAAAATCAACAATAAAAAAATGATTTCATAGCCCTTTTGGAAAATAATCGCAATAAAAGACCTGAAGTTCTTATAAATATATATTCTTCATAACTCTAGGCAAAAAATTAATTAATAAAAATTAAAAATTTGATATTCCTTTTGAAAAGTTAAGCGTAAATTCCTCATAAAATCTTTGAAAATTAAAACTTAAATACCTGATAGTCCGATTCAAAAAGCGACGCCTTAAGTCCTTTTGAAAAAATCCCTAAAAATCCAAATTAGTGCCCTAATAAAAATAAAAAAAAATTATAAAAAAAGTTCAAGCTTGAGAACCTTTCAAGTTCTTTTTAAAATATCCATAAATAT